CCCACCGTGTCTTCCAGCTTAGACAATCTGGGTGGTAGATCGTGAAATACACGCATTCTCAGTACAGGATTTTACCTGCTGAGGTAGCTTCTAGCCTCTAGAAAAGCTCATAACAGAAAGATGTAGCACTACAGTTCTCCTTAAATGAGGACTATGGATTGCAGAGCTGATCACATTCTTACCAGATTCCCATTTCATAGGTGCAGAAACGGATGGTCAGAAAGAGAGAGAACGGCTTGTAGTAGTGTTTAAGAGAGTATGTGCACTTTTCTTGACTTTAGAACTTTCCAACTGGTCTTTGTATGTGGATTCTACCTGGTTCAAAACCAGACCTTTTAACTTCTGTTCTGCAGTATTTTCTGCAGTATTTCTGTAATCTGTACCCACTTTCACCTCCAGAAAGGGATGTGTTGGGATGGAGCTAGGCAGACCTGGCTCATGCCTCTGTGCCATGACAAAGCAATCTATGGGCTGTCACTTACCCTCCCTAGGTTATTAGCATCATCATCTGAAAAGGGAGAGGATGCTAATTACTCAAGGAACTACTGTTCTAATTAAATGAGATGATTCACAGGCAGTATCAAGCATAGTACTTGGCATATGATAAATAGGCAACAAATGGAATGACAGTTGCTATTATTTTTCAGAAGAGGGGTTTCAAAGAAGCAAAACACAGTTACACAGTCTATTTGGACAAAAAGAGTGTGATAAATGAGCGCTAAGATTTGGAAACAATAGGAGATCAATAAGGAGTAATGAAGAGGCTCAGAGAAGGTTTCCTTGAGAAAGCAAAATGGGTATTTCCAAAGTACAATGAGGTTCTCTCACCCTCCTTTCTCCTATTGGACTTTCCTATTTCTCATTTTATCTTCACATTGGTATGGGACAAGAATCATATAAAAGGTAGAAAAACAGACCCAAAGAAGTGAAGGGACTTGCCTACAGATTTCAGGTGGGTTTTAATTGAACTGTCATGATGCTAACAACACATCAACACTTTAAGAAATATGTGTTTTTCCCAAGAAGCTCAGTATAGGGTATTTGGTCTCCATATACATATACATATACATATATATCTCAATATTCTTAATAAAATTATTTCATAATCTATAACTAAATTCTACTGTAAGATTATGCTTCACATTTGATGTACTTTACCATCAATATGACATTTCTGAGAAGAAATACTGAAAAATCATAGTAGTTAGAAATGCCAGTGTTTTTGTTGCTAACTGCCAGAAATGCAAACCTATAGCAGATATGTCATTTGAGACATTTGTGAAAGAATGATGTTAAATGTTGAAAATATTTTTTAAAAAGTCATACACGAAGGATGCACAAAACAACAACCCTTCAAATTAGTCAAATAATCACTTCATATTTAAACACTGCAAGGTAAAATTAGCCAGAAACCTGAAATTAATCTGAGATACAATTTGAAGAATTGAAGATTGATTACTCATGGAGGTTAGCTTTTAAAAAAAAATCATTTAAATGGCACTGAGAATTCTGTGAAGGAAATCAGAAGTGATGTAACTCGTCATGTTTCAGATGTAGTAGTAAGATTTGAGCTCCAGAGAGTGAATAGGAAGGTTCACCTTTGTAGCATGCTCCCTTCATTGCATTGTCGAGATTTTTGAACTGGGAGTGGCTTTGTATCTAAGAATATTCTGATGGTGTTAGTAAGACTGGAAAAGGGAGATACTTGATGCAGGAAGGTGAGCTAGAGGCTGCTTAAGCCATCAAGGTTGAGATGTTGTCGGCAGCAGAGATGCACAAGACTGATGTGGAAGTTTTTGGATGAGAGAATCGACAGGGCTTAGGGTCCACTTGTATGTGGGAGGTGCAGGAGGGGAAGGAGTTCAAGTGACAGTGTAAGACTTTCCAGATGGGTTTAGGAGCAGCTGAAAAGAACAACTTGACATAAATGCCTTACTTTTAGACCAACCATGAAATAGGTCCTAACCTCCAGCAAAGCCTTCAGAAGCGACTAGCTTGTCCTTCTGAAAGAATTCTATTCTAACTAGGTTCATGAGAAGAAAAAAAAAAGCCCTCATCTGGCATTATTTTTTACTTTAAGTTGGAGACAATGGAGTTTTATCAGAGGAATTCTTCAATGGAAAAACATAATCTTTTAAAGAGCACTTCTACCCTGTTCCCCCATCCCTACCTTTTTATGAAAGGGGATGGCTATCTTCATATCTGAAAACGTAGGAAAACAACCCTCGCTTCAAAGAGCTGCTGTCGGGCTTGTGTGAATAATGATGTATGAGCCATGTGCACACAGCTAGAGGAAGAAGGATCCATCACGTTTCTGTACCAATCTACTGGGTAGGAAGGAGGGCAGGAGGTGGTAGTTATGAGGAGACAGATTCTACTTCAGGGTAAAGACAAACCAAGGACCCAGATTTTCAGAACCTGGAATAGCCACCCGGCAAGTGAGCAAGTTGCCATCACTGAGGGTGCTCTTGCCAAATGAGGTGGTAGGAAAGAGACTTTCCATCCAGATGTGGCACACAGGACAGATGGTGGCTCCATCTTCAAGGGTCTACCTAACCAAGGTGACATGCAGGTAACTGCCACTTCATCCCTTCTAGCAAAAAGAGCACAACATAACTCCAGTGAATGAGAATGTTGATAATTAAGCACTTACAATAATAATGCATTAACATGTATTAACTATTCATCATAGGCTAGGCACGTATGTGCACCATGTATGTTCTCACACTCAATCTGTAGGGAAATGCTGTGGGGCCAGTTTTATGACTAATTTGAAATAGGCTCAGAGCAGTGGAACCACTGGCCCATGACTTCTCAGCTAGTGAGTGATAAAGGCAGGATGGAAACACATGGCCACTCTCCTCAAAATTGTGTTTATCCAGAAGGAGGAGAGGGGAGGGAGGAGGAGGAGGAAGAGGAAAACATTCACAAATATTAACAAAGCACCTTAAATATTATCAGCCATAAATCATTCAGCAACACAAACGGAGACCTCAGTGTAGAGAAGTCCTTTTCACACTCTACTGCTTTTTCACAGAAGTGCTCCATTTGCTTCAGACAGTGACCATATGCCCCCAGTGGCATGGGATTCAGCCTGAAGAAAATTTCTTATTTTATTCTATAACATGACCATAGTTGTTGAATATAAAACATGCTTCTATATTTTAAAGCAAAATGAATATACAATAGAAAGCATGCTGTCTTTATTTTGTGCCTTCATGTATCCCCTGGGAAAACAATAATAATCCAGTTTTAGAAGCAGTCCCAGAAAAAATAGATATGTTCATTCATCTACAGGTGTACAAAATATCCAATACACTAAAAAAAAAAAAAGTAGGAGAAAGAAAGTCTATAATTACATCAACAAATGAGCATTCCAGAGGTTTACAAGGTACCAGTTATTCATACATTCATACATATAATATCGCAAGATTTTTATGTACTTCACCTACTTAGTTTCATTGACAGAACACAAACGGAATCCCTAGGGACTTCTGGTCTACCCACAGTATGACTAGCTGCTGTAGCACTGCTGAAACAAACTGTCTGTTGGGTAATGAACCCAACATTTTCAGGAAGGCTGTGTTCCTCACTGGAGTTCTTCAGTGCTCAGAAACTCCAATTCCTCATTCTGCTGAGAGTCAGGAGACATTGTCTGTCCAGTGCCCCTGCACCTGTTATCTTATTGGCCTTATCCAAATAGCCCCAGCCTTAGCAGCAGCTGAAACAACAGATGGGCAGGAGAACTTGAGATTTTTTTGACATCATCCTTTTGTTTATGAAACACCCCCCCAACACTGGAATCTGATAGGAATTCTCTTATTACCATTTTGTGTTTTTTCCCATGGTACCTTTTTTTTTTTTAGAAAGTAAATGATTGATGCAGAGGGAGAGGAAAAAGAGGAATAACATCTTCCTTTGAGAATGGTCAAAAAGGAAATGGGGTTGGTGAGTTTTGGTTATGTGGAATTGACATAAATATATCTGCGTGTTGGAGGGTAATTGGCAGTAGCCAGGTTTGCTTAATGGCAGGATGAATTCAAGCAAAGAACTGAGAGGGCTGAACTAAGGGGAGGGAGGCAATCAGGTGTACGGTTGAGGGTGAGGAAGTCAGAATAGGCTTTGCATTAGGAGGTCTTGAGAGCAGAGGAGAGATGCAGTCTAGGCAACTAGTGCTTAGAATTGCAATTCCGAAACAAGGTCCCCCTTTGCAAGGGATGAGATTATTAAAACAGGCCCCAGCTAGGGATTAGAGAGGCAGAATTCAAGATATTATTTGATAGCATAAGATCATAAACAAGTTTTTTTAACCTGTCAATGCCTCTGAGTCACCATAGGTAAAATAAGCAGGGAAATGCTAGTACACATGTATTTGATTCTCAATGATTCTTATGTTTTGATTCTCAAATGAGAAAATACAAGGAAAGTGTTTAGCCCCAGGCCTAACATTCAGTTAACGGATGCTGCTATTATGATTTCAGTCAAGACAGAGACATAAGAAGGAGCAAGTGGTGGGGAGGAGGAGAATCACTGGGTGCAGCATAAGGAAAGGGCTTGCTTGCATGTATTGGGGTTTCTGCTCAGGTCTTATAGAGAGGGAAAAAGATCAGACAAGGTCCACAGAATCTTGTGTGGTTCTTTAACACCTCTGTGTGTGTGCTTACCCCATTTATTTTTCCCAGATGGTATTCTCCCAAACACCTTTACTGTGGACCACATACCATAATATTCTTATTCACCAAGGTTATTGTAAAGGTTAAATGAAAGATGGAAAAGAACCTAGTCGTATTCACAGTCATCCATCAGTTGATGCTGGTTATTACAGTTGTACATGTTAGTGTAGTCCACCATGTGTAGAAGAGTGCCCTAACCACAGAAGACAGTAATAATTATCTGATAACTGAATGTGCATGTGATTTCCAAAATAAGCAAGACTGATAGAATGTTCTCAAGGGACACATTGTGTCTGCATGGGTAATAGTCTTCTTTATGTTTTCCAGGGATCTGAATCTTGGCAGTGTGTACCAGTACCGGGTCATCACCATTTCGGGAAGTGAAGAGAGTGAGCCATCGCCCGCTGCCGTGTACATCCATGGAAGTGGGTACTGTGGCGATGGCATTATCCAGAAGTGAGTAGATCTAACTAAGGCAAGGGGAGGGGCAATGCTAATTAGGCCAAGAGATTGTGAGGGTGCTGAATAGAAGAGCTTAGGATACTTTTCAAGGTCTGTGAGCTGTGGGTTACCAGGGTTCCCCAGCAGGCTGTCAATTTGTCTGCAAGTCATTGGGTGGACTCAGAAGAAAAGCAGTGATTCTTTTTTGAGCCCATACATTTCTCAAGTATGTAATACCATAAACGATTTTGAGAGAGCTGCCAGTCTGCACTTACCCTTCCTGCTCTTATTCTTGATTGTTTTATGTGCTGCAAGGACTCTGTTAGTCTTTTTCATCCCATCCCACATTCAGTTAATAGGACACCGTGCACCTAGGTCAAAACACTTTCACATTCTTTGCTGGTTACCATTTACATTTGGTAAAACTGCATATTTATTTGTTGTTTCTTCTCTATCATGTTACATTAACAGTTTACAAATTGGGTCAAAGGCTCATAAAAATAGCGAAGTATTCTAACTCACTACAATGTTGAGACCATACATAGTAAACAGTCCTCTAGAGTGAATATTGAATGTGAAGATAAGAACAGGCAGGCAAATGAATCAGAAAGTGTAAAGATTCCACACGAGCAGCCAAAAAGGAAAAGTGTGATCAGAAAATACAAAGCTGCCTGTCTAAAAAATGGGTTTTATTGGATCAGCAGTCCATTCATCCCCTTGTCCACAGAGCAAGACATTACGCAATTGCAAAAACAGGCAAGAAGCTATCAAGACTTTTGCATTGTTTAAAAAAAAAAAAAGTGAACATTTGAGTTTTTTTCCTCCAGAATAAACACAAAAATATTTTCTGGCATAAAATTGAATAGTTTTCTCTGTAAAGGTGAAAAAGAGAACAAAAGTCATTCACAATTAAGGTCCTTATTGCTCAAGTTATGTTCCCTACTGCTAATGTAGTTCAAGTCACACTATTGCTAAGTGACTTTTAAAACTATTGGCAGATTTAATGATAAACATTATGTGTGGAGATAGCAAAACAAGCTATTGGCAAAATTCCTTCATTAAATGGCACTGTTGGGTGTCACATAATATGTATGGAACATGGAATCGCAATGACTATTTTTGTAGGGGGTGGGACACTGCAAAGAGAATTTGTTTCACGGTTGGATGAAACCACTGATACGCAGAACATGAATCTGCCCAGAGGTGTAGTACATAAACGAAAGAGAAGTGCTAGAGGACTATTTCCTTCAGTTCATCGTTGACACTTGTGCTGGAGGGGAAGAGCCATTTAATTTGGTAGTGATGATTTTGTGGAATGTAATGTAAGCTGGAAACCTGCTTTGGGATGAAAGGACCAGCTAGGAGCATGCCAAGGATGGCACAGTTATGCAAATGAAGAGTTTGCCCACGAATACCTATCCATGCATACATCAGTTACTGGCCAGCAGCTGGCTTTGCATCATGACTTAACATTGAAAGGAATAGTGGAATATTGGGAATAGGACCAGGTAAGGGCCAGTGAATTACATCTCAACTTGCTGTGCAAAAAGGTAATAGTCTATACAAGACTCTGCTCCCACGTATGTACTCTGAGGTATACCTGGCTGTTCTAAGAAAGATATTAATTCCATTTTTTGAAATAAGGAATGACATTTTTTTTAATGTTCACACCAGTAAGGCCAGTAATGATGGTTTGCATAATTTCAAGTGGCTTTGCTGAAGTTGGGTATTTCAGGGATACATATATATCCATCTGTTAAATGTCCTACAATGATCATTTCAAAGCTGAATTGCCAAGATTTTAATATTGAAGAGATACTATAAAGATTTTTCAGTGTTGAATGATGGCACAAACCACCTGACTGCCAAGAATTTGATTCCTCAAGCATGGAAGAGAAAGCTGCTGACTTGGAGAATGAAATCCATAAGGCGCCATTGTATGCATTTAAGATCTGCATCCAAATGCCACCAGCAGAAAGTGAAGATGCAGTTTTCAGTGCTCCCTGTAACAAAACTGGGGAAAAGGAAGCCGTTCACTGTTCTCTCCCACATTAAGACATCCACTTCTAGCTTCTGATGCAGCTTTGCCTGATAGAACACTGAGAAACATTGCTCACAACACGTAACTGTGACTTGAGATTTTCCAATTTAGCACAAAGGGTAAAGAAAGAAACTCACTGGGTGTGAAACCTGATCTACAACATAATCTCTCCATTTGGGGGCCAGATATATAAAGGTGCCCTGGTAGAACATTATAAACAGTATCATTCTTCTCACTGATCCAAAACTGTTGTTGTTGTTAATGTAAATAGTAACCTGAAAGTTTTTTTTTAGCATTTTTACCTAGAATTGGTGTCCTGCATAGATATCAAATACTTGTTAAGTTACCTGAAGGTACCAAGTGGTTGTTAATATACTTTGCAGAAAACTGAATGCAGCTTATGGGTGGTTCCCTAAGTGAAACAAAACAAACAAATCACAATCTTTGAGGAAAAGAAGGGATGTCATCTTAGCTAACTGGATATTTCATGGGGTGATATATGCTAATTTGCTACACACACACACACACATATACATATACATATATATGTAAGGGAATTTACAAAGAAATACAGATAAATTCAACAATCAGTGAGGCCCCTAATGGATAAAAGCCCTGGATGGATATTATGCTAATCCTAAAAATATTCATAAATATTTATTGAGCCTCTGTATGCGTGAGCACTGTTATCTCCTTGGGTGCATCCAACGACCCTATGAAATAGGTCCTATTACCATACTTCACAAAAGAGACAATGAACACCAAAAATTAAAGTGCCTTTTCAAGCTTACACACCCAGAAAGCTGCACTCAGATGTGAGCCCAGGGCCCATGCTGTCATCTGACTCATCATCGCCTTGTTGCTTGACCAACAGTCCCCTGCAGAACTAGCAAGCGAAGAAGTCGCTGCGTGTTGTCTGCTGTATCCCAGGCACTGTGCCAGGCCCTGGGTGCTAGAATGACAAAGACCCCGTCACTTCCCTTGGCATCAAAGCCTGATGCATGGGGTTCTCGGTAACAGGCAATGGCACTAAGTTTGACAAGTGCTGTGATGGATGGAGCTCTGTGTCTTTGGACACAGAGGAGATGGCCACCCACTCCAGCCTGGGAGGTCAAAGATGGTTTCTCAGATCCTCCCTATCTAATGATAGATCTGCTATGCCTAGAAGATTCTTGTGGTGACATTAGTGTTTTGCTTAAACCAGTAGAACACACTGTTTGGGTGGTAAGGGAAGCGGGTTAGAAGTGTTCTCTGTGGCTTAGGGAAACCAGCCCAGGTTAAGAAAAAAAAAAAAAAAAAGATCTGTCCCCAGATAACCCATGAAATACCTAAGGGGCACAAGGACCATCACCAGTTCTAGCATGCAAGATGCACTGACAGAGGGGGAGCACGGACCCAGTTTGGAATATGGAGTCTTTTGCTCGTGGGTGTGCAGACAGGCAAGAACTTTGGTGGCTCTTCAGAGATCCGTGCAACATCCTAGCCATTTTAAGGATTGATTGCATGGCACCTCCCGCTACTCTCGCACCTCCTAAAAGCAACAAACATTTCCCAGTGTTAATTGCCTGGGTGAAAGGAAAAGTCTGAGGCCTCTTCCATGCTGTGACAGGTCCCAGCTGGTCTCTAGGGAGGGAGGGACAGCTGCCACACACTCTGCGGAGACCTCCCAGGACAAAGTGGGAATGGGAACCAATTCCCTGAGCACCTACTGTGTGTCACACACTATGCCAGCCACTTTAAGTTACATTCTATTCTTATCCCAACTCTAAGAGTAGGTACAGTTTATCTCCATTTTAACCTGTGAGCAAACTGAGATTCATCATCTAGAATGCACTGTCCAATGGATTTTTCTGCAATGATGGAAATATGTTCTGTGCTGTGCAATACAGCAGCCACTAGCTATATTCAGCTACTGAGGACTTGAAATGCAGCTACTCTGACAGAGGAATGGAATTTTAAATTACTCTTAATTTTAATTTATTTTAATTGCCAAAGATAGAGAGATCAAGTGAGCTGTCTGAGATTACACAGCTAGTTTAGAACCTGAGGATCTAAATCTGAGTTTTTTTATTTCTAAAAGGACAGGAGCCTTCCAGAAAGTGGCAAGCATCCAGTCTTGCAGTTACTACCCCTTCTTCTCTTCTCATAGCCCCAATTCAGAGAGCATTGCTCATTTTCTACCCATTCTAACCTCTGCAGAATCATCCTTAGGTGATGGAAATAATTCCCAAAAAAGAAAGAAAAAAGAGGACACATTTTTTTCCCTAGCAGCATAGTTCCACAGGTCCTGGAGTTCTGGACACCATGAAATGGCATACCCAGTGGAGAAGGCAAAACTTTCCCATACAAGGAAGACCAGACCAGAGAATGTGAATGGAAAAAAATCTTTAAGGGCACTGGGGGAGTGGGGAGGGGGCTGAGGCAGGGCTTAGTGATGAGTAGCATTTATATTTTAGAAACTCCAAAATTTCCTTCAAATCTACCATTTTAAGATGACAGTGAGAGTCCCCAGGCACAGTGCAAGTTCTGTTCATTCGTGTATTCATTCACGCATCTGTTTCTTAACGAATTTCAACTCATAAGACCTCAGAGAGTGAGTTTGGTAGGGGAATTCTTCCTTGTCATCAGAAACACAAAATCAGGCAAATGTAATAAGACTGTGCAAATTATACACATCTTATTTTAAAGAAGGAACAGAGGCTCATGAAAGGGACTGGCCTGAGGCCTCAGGGGAAGTTCATGGCCCAGGGAGGGACCTTCCCATGTCTAGCTGTGGTTCTGAAGCCGATGTGATACATTTCTACCTCCTTCCCGCAGAAGCCAAGGTGAAGCATGTGATGACATGAATAAGATCAATGGCGACGGCTGCTCCCTTTTCTGCCAACAGGAGGTTTCCTTCAATTGTATTGGTAAGTCTTTGTCGTTTCTTTGGGCTTGGCTGGAGAAGAGGACAGCGCGCACTACTTAGTTACAGTAACAGCAATAGTCATGCCTAACTGATGCTTTACTCCTTTGTTTACGGATGTATACTGAGTGCGTCCTGTGGGCCAGCCAATACAGCAATGGGGGGAAGAAAAAACGCCATACATTCCTGCCCTCACAGAGTTTAAATCCCCGTAGATAAAGGAAATGACGGGTTATTCCTCTTAGGTCTTTTTGCCGTACAGGCGTGATCACTCCACGCCACACCTCAGATGGTTATTAGTATAGATTTTTAAGGCTTTTGTTCTCACTTTAGAGATGAGAGAAATCAAGTCGGAGAGATTAGAAAACTTGTTCAGAGTCACACAGGTTAGAAGTGATTGAAGACAGAAGCAGGGCTTCAGCCTGCGTTTCTCTGATTCTCCAGCTCAGTTCGTTTTGCTGCACACGCTCCCGCTAGGATCCAGGAGGCGCCGTGGCCCCCTCTGCGCCCTCAGCACCTTGGGCAGTCTCTCTGACTTGATGGAAGAGGGAGAGCAGACCAGCCTGTGTTTAGAAAGCAAACCTCCTTTTCCCACCTTTCCTGAGTGAGATGGGAAATCTGTTTTCCTCTGCCTTCTCTAGGAGTCTGGCCGACCTTGTTGTTTCAGCCCCACTTGGGAGGCCCTGGCCAGCCCGGGGCTGGTAAACAGGCAAGGGGTGGGGGGCAGGGATGGAATTTTGAGCTGGCTCAGATGAGGTCATACTTCCTTTAAGATGCAAATCGATACCTGAAGATCAAAGGTCCCCCGGCTAATCCCCTGGGCTGGAGGTGAAAACTAATCACAATTCATTTGCAAGTACAAAAGACAGAGGTGCTCTATCTGAAAAGGGAAGGGGCAGCTACAGAGGGGACGAAAACATCGGTGGGAAGATTTCTCACTGAAAGGCAATTTTCTAAGACTAAAGGAGAGGAAGTGGTATTGGGTCGTCACACTTGCAGTGGATTACAAGGGTGCATTTAGACCTCCCTTCTCCTGGGCGATTGTGAGCCCTGTGTGGTCTTTGCAATATACCGTTTACTTCTTATTCCATTCCTAACACACATTTGTTGAGCACCTACTATCTCCTTGCCGTCAAGCAGGGACCGAGCAACACAGCAGAGATGTCTTGGAATCAACTGTCTGTGGATGGAAGAAAGGGAGATGCAGAGGGAGGAAGGACAGGAGAGTTGCCAGGCAGGGCCTTGGATTTTTAAGCAGCAATTTTTTCCCCCTCTCCTCTGTTGATGTGAGAATGGTCCATAATAAAAGCTTGATACTAGCCTCCTGCTATGGTGGAAAGAGGCTGGGGCTAAAATTGAGAAAACCAGGCTCTAAGAACCCAGCCTTGCTAAGAACTTGGCTGCATAAATCTGACCTGCTCACTTCCCTAGTCTGGGCCTTAGTTCACCTTCCATAAACCCGAAAGAATAGAGTAAGGTGGTCTCTGAGCACCTACCTGCGCTTGTGTGATTTCCAAGATGTGTGACTAATCCTCATGATCGTGGGCTCTGCTTGAACCTAACCCATGACTTTGTCATCATCCTCCTGACACCCAATATTACCCCAGATCACGCTGGAAAATACCGACCTAGTTTACTTGTACTAAGGTGGCATGCAATTTCAGTGCTGTGGGAAGAAGGCAGGACATGGTAAAGGTAGGATAGGGTACCCTGAAAGAGGCTTGTGCCCGAACATCTGTGCTCTCTGTTGCTTCAGCCCTGTGCAACCGTCAGCAAAACCATGGAAACCTCTTACAGGTGGAAGCCCATCATGCTTGGAAGAGGTCTGTCCAGTCCACACGCCTTGACTGGCATCCTACCTCTATCTGTAAATGAAGTGTTACTGGAACACAACGTATTCATTCCTTTGCATGGTGTCTGTGGCTCTTCTGCTATAGCAACATTGTAGCATGGCTCCAACAGAGACCCTATGCCCCACAGAGCCTAAAATACTTATTATCTGGCCTTTTACAGACAGCATTTGCTGACCCCTGATCCATGGATTTGGAGTCTTTGATACTCTTGGTTGCAGGAGCCTGGTGCAGAGAGGAGGTGAAAATTATGACACGGCTCACCATTTCTTGGAAAAGGAACTGAATTTTAAGCAAATGGTGGTGGGGCCTGGGAGACTGTTAGAAAGAGCCAGAGTCCAGCCCTAGGATACCTTTTACCTAGTCGGGCCTCGCTTCCCTGCCTATACTTTGAGAAAATGATTGTTTTCGACTAGATGAGTGATCTTCAGACTATGCTAACTGGAATGGTCTAGAGGAAAGGCATGAAGGTGAAGGAGTTTCCAAGGTGAGACTTGGACTGTCGTGGATTCACTGTACATACTGTCATCCTTTACTAGATTCTGAGGATTATTCTATGATGGCGTGATGATCTTTACTGAACATCTTTTATATACCAAGCACATTTATAAACTCTCATTGTCATGCAACTCTTTCATTGTCCTGACATTACAAGGGAGGAAGCTAAGGCACGGAGGTGAACTATAAGCACATACAGTTAAGTGATAGAACTGGGACTCCAACCCAGAGTCCCACTCAGAGCCCACGGTGCTAAACTCCCTGCAAATAAACATAGTGCCTGGTCTTGTCAGTCTCTGAGAGTGAAAGAGGAATATACGGCTATAGGATAATTCATCTAATCAATTAATAGACTGGCATATACAATTGTCAGTGGTGTAGATGGAGTCCAGGGAAGGCTCTCTGCTACCCCTATACACTGAGCGTGGTTTGTGTTAGAGGAAAGACCTCTGCTATGCCCCCAGCCTTGCCATTGAGAATTCCATTAGAGAGACTCACAGAAACGAGGCATTCCAGGAAGTAAAGAGTCTATCCAGAGATCCCAGTTCCCGGGAACATTCCAAGGACAAATTCCATGGTTTTGAGTCTAGAAAACCATCTTCCTCTGCAAAGAATAGCTGAAGAAGAGAGAGTGAATCTTTGGTTCCCAGCAAATCCGGCTTTAGTGAGTCAGAGAAGTGGGATGGAGTGTGGGAAGCTTTGCTGAGGTGGACATTGTTCTCATCGTTACATTTGTCAAGACAGGGGTCGAGATAGTGGCCAAGAGAATAGGTTTGAGTGAGACTGACTTGGGTTCATACCATGGCTTAGACGTACAAACTTGGCTAAACTTCGGTGTTCTCATGCAGAAAATGGTGAAAGTCCTAGGCCTGAACTGTTGAAGATATTTACCAGTATTTTTGGATACTTACTATCTGAATCCCCTTCCTACATTTTGGAAATAACTTTCCTTGTTATAATAATGAGGCAGAGCTCAGACCTCTCTAGCAAAGTAGAAAATCCAGTCTCCTTCTCCCAGGCCCCATTGTAGCTTGAGTGTGGGAACCAGTCCTACCCTCTCCCCAGGTCAGGCAGACTAACCCAAGACATTGCATCAAAAGCTAGCAGGGTTGAGACATAGGAACCCTGCAGAAACCATTTGGATAAGGATGGTGGGTGCGGCCACAACCCATGGGTTTCTGAAGATCCAGTGACAACACATGGCATTAGTGCTGAAGTGACTGTAAAGCAGCACCTCTGAGATGTCTTCCCAGGACCAGTCTTGAGCTTGGACTTGGGCTTCAGAGCCTGGCTCACCAGTGCCCCAGAGAGTGTTTGATAAGTATCCAGGATTCTTTGAATTGATTTTGTTTGCTGGTTTTGCTTAAGTTAGCCAAGGTTGGTTTCTGTTGATTGTCACATAGAATCCTGAGTGAAAATTGTTGTCAGAAGATACTATAAATTGGAATGTGCTTGATGCACATGGACTATTACTTTTCTCAATGTGTGTGAGAGTGTGGTGGCAGTGGGCAGAAGTGGTGGGTGCCAGACACAGCCACCATTTATGGTCACCCATCATGTGGTGGTACACCCTGTGCCGTGCACCTCTGTTTAATGCGAGCCTCTGTGAGGTCTCTTATATCTAGATCTGAGGACCTACTATGATGTCTTAACTTGACTAAGGTCACCCTGCTCACAGAGGTGTGATCCCATCTCCAGGCTGAGTAAAGGACCACTGTTCGGTCTACTCTGCAACTGCTTCCGTATCTGAAAGACTTCTTTCCTCGCTCCTGCTTTCTCTCCCTCCCTCCCTCCCTACTTCCTTCCTAGGTACCTTCCTTCCTTCCTTCCTTCTTACCAGCCTCATTCCTTCCTACCTTCCTTCCCTCCTTCATTTTCTTCTTTATTTTTTTGTCCCCGACCATTCACTGGGGCTAATGTTTTCTCTGGATCTGGTAACACCAGGTGAGGGTGGGTGACAGATTTATGGTGGCGTTCCCATTCGCTTTCCAGAAGCCCACACATCCGGAAGTATTCCCTAGGTGCCAATGTGTTATTATGCAACACCCGGGGACTTCCCTTTCCCACTTTCCCACCCCCAGTGCCCTCATCCCCCAGCACATAATGAGTTGCTTGTTAAAAGGAACACCACCCACAAGACCTCTTAGGCAATGCACGCTACATCCTCAGCAATGTGGAAATTATCTTGTCCTTTTTCCCCCCTTTTTAAAATCTAACATACACCAGGCCTGAGGTTTCTGTTAAAAAATGTGGTATCAGTCAAATGATAACTACCCCCCACCCAACAGGCACTGGCCGCAGGCATTGTTCAGCAGCTTGGGAATTCTTTTTCTAAAGCACTGAGTCATAAACTACAGACAAGCTGCTGATAAAAGCTGAAGGAAGGAAGGTAATGGTCAAATTAGACAAAACGTGAAGCATCCCAAAAAGGGGTTATACTGAGTCATATATCTTGAGCCAGTGCTGGAAATGTGTTACCTTCTGAGATGACATTTAATCCATTACAGGAATGGGATGGTGGAGGCCCCGTGTGCTTGGGTTTGATTTACCACCCTGTGTCCTTCCAAAAAGCTGGGCCCAGGTCTCAGTCTCCACTTGGGAGCCCGGGCTGCAGTTCAGCACCTTGGAGCCTCAGTTTCTCCATTTGTGAAATGGG